CTTTTGATTTTCTGCTTTATTTATTTATTTATTTATTTGAGATAAGGTCTCGCCCGGTAACTCAGTCTGGGGTGCAGTGGCACGATCTCGGCTCACTGCAACCTCCACCTCCCGGGTTTAAGCAATTCTCCTACATCAGCCTCCCAAGTATCTGGGATTACAGGCGTGTGCCACCACGCCTTGCTAATTTTTGTATTTTTAGTAGAGACAGGGTTTCACCATGTTGGCCAGGCTGGTCTCGAACTCCTGACCTCAGGCGTACTCGCCTGCCTGCCTCGGTGAGCCACCATGCCCAGCTCGGATAATTTTTCGTCTTTTTTGTAGAGATGGGTTTTCGCCATGTTGCCCAGGCTGGTCTCGAACTACTGGGCCCAAGCAATCGGCCCTCCTCGGCCTCTCAAAGTGCTGGAATCACAGGCATGAGCCACCATGCCCAGCCTATATTTTAAAAACAACTTTCATTGTTTTTACCCTTATTATGAAAGACACAAATTTCATTTTCAAAAATCCAGAATGACAGTTGAGCTTTAAAATGGTTGGCAGCAGGTAGCTACTTTGGGGTCTTGAGCTGGGAATGACAGGAGGCAAGACTGCAACTTTCATTGATGGAGGAGAAGGAGGATGTGGTTTATTGTGTGAGACGCTGAGGTCCAGGGGAGGGTAGTGATTAGACAATGACAGACTTAAGGTTTGGCAGGCAATTTGCAAACCAATCTGCTGAATACCAATTATTATACTTTTTTTTTTATCTTTTTTTCCCCCCTTTTTGTGGATAACGAGGTCTCACTATATTACCCAGGTAATGTCTCGAACTCCTGGGCTCAAGCTATCCTCCCGCTTCTGCCTCCATGAGAGTGGGGATGACAGGAGTGAGCCACTGCACACAGTGAATACCAATGATTAAAAAACAGTGAACATGGGGCCCGGCGCCGTGGCTCACATCTGTAATCTCAGCATTTTGAGAGGCTGAGGCGGGTGAATCACGAGGTCAGGAGTTCGAGACCAGCCTGGCCAGCATGGTGAAACCCCATCTCCACTAAAAATACAAACGCACTAGCTGGGCATGGTGACATGCTCCTGTAGTCCTAGCCACTTGGGAGGCTAAGGCAGAATTGCTTGAACCTGGGAGGCAGAGGTTGCAGTGAGCAAAAATTGCACCACTGCACTCTAGCCTGGTGACAGAGGGAGACTCCATCTCAAAAAAAAAAACAAAACAAAATAAACAAAAAGCAGTGAACATTTATTGAGCACTTACACATGCTTGGTATCATACTAAACACTGTACATTTAGTAACCCATTTAACCCTGATAGTCAGGTACCTGTATCATTCCCATTATATGGATTAAAAATTTGAGGCACCAAAGGGTTAGGTAACTTGTCCAAAGCTCCAGTTAAGCGTGGTGGAGCTCTCTAGTCTGTAGTCCCAGCACTTTGGGTGGCTGAGGCAGGAGGATTGCTTGAGGTCAGGAGTTTGAGACCAGCCTGGGCAACACAGTAAGACCTTGTCTCTAAAAACAAGAAAAAAGGGGGGAAAAAAAAAGAGTAGTGGAGATGAAGTGTTAGTTTAGCTGAGTTCTGTAGTTATCTACCAAAGCTAGATATTTACTTTTACCTTTTATATGTGCAATTCGGGTTTCTCCATTCTAATTTATAAAGTTCTAGGTGATAGAGCTTCCATGATACCATCTGACATGTTGCTGTTCTGGACTCAGGGTTGTTGAAAGCAGCTGACATACTCTGTTAATGATTTCAAGCCAGAGTCAGGCTGGAGTGAAGAGTTGGCCCGGTGTGTAAGAACTCCATCCCCTCTTAACTGGCAGGATGCAGGCAATGATTCAGTAGGTGAGGCTGGTCACCTCCCCCATCCCCTCACCCCCTGCCATCGTTCAAAATAGTAATTATGATGTAATGTTGGTTTAATGTTTAAAAAAATACTCTGATGATTTATGGACTTAAAAGTTATCTAAATGCACCCTGAGGATGATGATGAAAGGTGCAATTTTGACATCAAAACAAGCGGGTGCATCAAATATTTAATTAAAGGATCAGATGAAGAAAGCAGATGCAAAGTCGCTCAGATGGAAATGTGGCCTAACCCCCCAACCCAAGGTCTGAGAGTGGCAGAAGCTAGTGTCACCTTTGAATACAAAACATGGCTACAGACGAATTCAAGAAAGAGTGAGAATGTATTGCTTATATAATTTTAGGGCTTTTTTTTTTCTGAGGCGGAGTCTTGCTCTGTTACCCAGGTTGGAGTGCAGTGGCACAATCTCAGCTCACGGCAACCTCTGGGTCCCGGGTTCAGGCAATTCGTCTGCCTCAGCCTCCCAAATAGCTGGGATTACAGGCGCCTGCCTCCACACCCGGCTAATTTTTTGTATTTTTAGTTTCTTTTAACAAATGATTAATTATGAAAATACAAGATGATTTAAGGAGTCTTGAAGGCATATAGACTCCCTTTCAAATGTAAACGAGTAGAGGAAAAACCGGAAGCCTGCAGTCCTCCTCCTTGGCTACCAAAGGGTGTTTATTAGCTAGGATGGCAATGAAACATCTAATACAATGTAGTTTATAGCAGTGGACCGTGTCTTTGGCTCCTCATCTGGATGTGTAGCTCTGGCTTCTCATGGATAAGCTGTATAAAGCCTTATTAGATTCAAATACTGTCACCACGCCATATTAAAAAAAACATAGCTATGAACTGTATTTCTTATACAAGTGGGGTTAAATTAGTTGATTTAAAGATTTCCCTCTTTCCTACTGGTGCTAAAAGATTGTTAAACAAAATTAGGAATGTGCTAATTTAACAATTTACACTACAGGCCTGCTACCTGGCAATGTGCTGTCAATTCAAGAAAAGCAAGCAAGCAAGCTACTTCATGATGAGAAATCAAACCTCACCCCCACTTCTCTCTCTTTTCTTCCTTTTTTTTTTTTTTTTTTCCCTCTGAGCAATGGTCCCCAGGAAACAAACCCACAAACCGCTGTCAAGTCTGATTCCTCTTTCTGGAGTTACAGCCTTCCTGCTCCTCCGTGATGGCTCAGCGGACGCACCACCTCTGCTACTCGTTTTCAAAATACATGTTGAGTCTTAGGACCAGGACCAGGAGGACGATTGAGATTTTTTTCCTTGTCATCTTTCTTTTCTTTTTCTTTCTTTCTTTTTTTTGGTGGTGGGTGGGGCCAAACTAAGAGGGAGACAGCAGGTCTGGGCCATCCCTCCTCTGACCCTCTGGGGCCATCTTCCTTCTGGCAATTCTCTTCCCCCATCTGTTTTCCTCTTGTTTTTGTTTTTTAAAAGAGAAGGAAAAACAATCAAAGAAAGGAAAAGAAACGAAACAAAACAAAATTACATGAAACATCTCTATGGCAAGGCCAGTACGGTAGAAAATTATGGTTAAAAAATTATAGGAGTGCATTGATTCATGTGAGCATTCCATGTTTCCACACAGGTCTCAAATTATGGAAGAAATCCATTGTTTAGGCAATAGATAGTGGCATGAGAAGCTTCCTCTTTTAATTTTTAAATTATACAAACTTCGCTTCTTCGTTTGGCAAAGGAGGGGCTCTGTTTTGGTTTTATTTGATCAGTAATTTTTCATTCCTTACACATTTCAGTAAATGTTCACTGATCTTCGCTTTGCTCCGGGTGCTGAGGAGGGGGCTCTGGGGGCAGCTGAGGGCTTAGGCATTCCTGGTGGGGCTGCCAGGCTCTTCCTCAGCCTGGGAAATGCTCCCATCACAGGACAGCACCCTGGCCCCTGAGATGGCTTCATCCTTTTGGAGAGGTACTTCTGCAGCTTCCTAGGGCCTTCCGCACATGTGTCTAGCTGGGTTGATTTAAGGGCTCTTTCCAGGGTGATCATCCCATGGATTCCAATGAGCAAAACCAGAGGAGCTGGGGAGGTCGACGTAGTGTATTTTTAAATTTCTCCATCTTTATGATCCAGGCATAGTTATGAAGGTTGGACACCGAGGCGTTTTTAAAAATTGCTTATCGAAGTATAATTTAAACAGTGAAATTGTGCACAGATCTTAAACGGCATTTGTAAGTTTTGACAAATGTACATACATGGCAATCTATTTTTATTTCACTATCCCAGAAGGTTCCTTCATGCCCTTTCCCAGTCAATACCTCCTCATCCCCAAGGGTACTTTTCCTCTCCCCATAGCTTAGTTCTGTCTGTTCTAGAATTTCCTGGAAATGGAATCACGCAGTATGAACTCTTTTGTGTTTGGGTTCTTTCTCACAACACCATGTTTTTGAGAGTCATCAGGTTGTTGCCTGTACCAGGTTAAATAGGATATCACTAACAGCGAGATAGTGTTAAGAAGGGACAATTTTTACCCCGTTGGCCTCCAGGCCAGATAGTACCTAAATCCTGGTAAGTGGCCCTCTTCCGCCCTTCCAAGTGAGTCTCTCTCCAGGGCCATGCAAGTTTCTCTCCCAGAACCGCTCAGGCGGCCTCGGGCACCACCCAGATGGCTGCGGGGCCATCACCAGGTCGCCTCCCCAGAACAGCTGCCCCCTGCTTCCCCCCAGCCCCATTAAAACTCAAAAGGGAACTCTGGCCCCTCTGCCGATCAGAATTCAGATTCGCTTAATTCCACGCATCCAACTGCACACAACTGTGGGATGTTTTGGTGATCACAGATATGCAGAGTCCTTTAAAAAACGTAAAAAGAAAAAAAAAAGGTGGGTAAAAACCGAGATCTCCAAGGCAGTGGATATCAGTCTCGGTTGAGCCAGGGATTCAGAATGAAATCTTTTCTTTTTTAAATAAACGGAAGAGTCGTTCTCTGCTCCTCGCTCAGAAGGTTTCAAAGGTCGTCACACTGAAGCCCGGGGGCGTTCATCTCCCCAGCGGCCGGGAGAAGGGAGGAGGTTGGAGGGAGGAGGGAGGGAGCACACAAAAGCGGGCCGTGCTGAGAGGGCTAATGTTTCCTGTTTGCCTGGAGCCCCCTCCCCTGCCTCCCCTCCCCCAGCCCCCTCCCAGCACTCGGGCGGAAGTGAGTTTGCTCCTTTGGAGATTAAAAGGATTCCGAATTCCGATCAGTCCCAATAACCGGCGTACTGAAGAGAAGAGGAGGAGGAGGAGGAGGAGGAGGAGGAAGAGGCGGCAAAGCAGAGAAAGAGGGGGCGCGCGCGCGCGCACGCAACCCGAATTGGGGGAGTTGTGCAAAGCCCCAGGAGGCCGGGGCACGGCGAGAGCAAAGCCCGGTAGGCGCAGCGCGGCCGAGGCCACCCGCGTCCGGATCGGCGATTCGTTTCAGAAAGAAGATGACGCGGGCGCGAGCCGGCGGCGTTGGCCACGCGGCTCCCGAGCTCGCCGCGCGGGGCTGTTGCCGGTTCCACTGATTCCAGCGCGCCTGAGAGGAGCCTCCATCCCCGAGGCTCGGGATCGGAGGGGGGACCAAGGCGAGGGCGAAATGGCCCAATGACAAAGGAAATGTGATCCCCCTTCGCTGCCAAGGTTTCAGAGAGGACGGACGTGAGGAGGAGGAGGGGCGCAGGGCGCGCGCGGAGCTCGGATAGCATTGCACGACGGTCCGCGCGGAGCGGGTACATCTAATATCTTCCTGCCGATGAATAATTCAGGGCGGCCCGCGGGGACCTGCGGCCCCGCGCGCTAAGCCGAAGGGGAAGGAGCGTGCGGGAAGCGCCCAGGCCAGGCGAGGCGGGGGCACGAGGGCTCCGGGCCGCGTGGGGCGCGCGTGCGTGTTAAGCGCGGGCAGCCGCGGCCCGGCTGGGCAGGCGCGCGGGAGACTCGAGGCGCGTGGGACGCGCGTGCGTACTGCACGCGTGCGGCCGCGGCTGGGCCACCACGAGCTGCAGCTGCTGCGGGGCCCACCGCCCTGCAGACGAGGCCGCGCCTGGCGGTGCGCAAGCCCCAAGCGCAGCACGCCGGGCCACCCAGGAGCCCCTAGCCGCCGCGTCATGCGGCGGGGCGGCCGGCGTCGCGCGGGGAGACACCGGCTTGGCGACGCGCCGCTCCCGCCTTTACTAGTTTGGGGCGCCTTCCCCTCCCAAGAACAGACTAGATTCGTTTAAAGAAAAGCAACGCACCAAATACTCGTGGAACCAAATTCTGCTCTCGCCAGGACTGGGACTGCACAGAGAACTCTCCTTTTGGGAACTCCTTTCGGCTATCGCGAAGCGAAGCCCCAGCTGCTCCAGGGAGTCTTCCGACCTCCCTGCCCCCGCTCGCCCCTCTCCTGTTGGGGCTTGTTCCGGTCTTCTCTCTTCGGAAGGCACGCGGCCCCCAAGTTATCCGGAGGAATCTGTGTTGCCGCTGGATAGTGGCATTTAATGCCTGCAGTGTCGGGGGTGGCAGCGCTCGGGCCGGACGTGGCGAAGCCTAGCGGGCAGCGCTGCTCTGGTGCCGGCTCCCGGATTGCAGGCCTAATCGATGCATTTTTCTGAGTGAGTCGGTGGCTCCCCCACCCACCTCGTCCGCTCTCTCCTCCTCCTCCTCCTCTTCCTCTCTGGTCTCCTCCCTCCTCCGGGCTGGGTTGCAAATGGCTTCGTTCCCCGAGACCGATTTCCAGATCTGCTTGCTGTGCAAGGAGATGTGCGGCTCGCCGGCGCCGCTCTCCTCCAACTCGTCCGCGTCGTCGTCCTCCTCGCAGACGTCCACGTCGTCGGGGGGCGGTGGCGGGGGCCCTGGGGCGGCGGCGCGCCGCCTACACGTCCTACCCTGCCTGCACGCCTTCTGCCGCCCCTGCCTCGAGGCGCACCGGCTGCCGGCGGCGAGCGGCGGCGCGCCTGGAGAGCCGCTCAAGCTGCGCTGCCCGGTGTGCGACCAGAAAGTAGTGCTAACAGAGGCGGCGGGCATGGACGCGCTGCCTTCGTCCGCCTTCCTGCTCAGCAACCTGCTTGACGCGGTGGTGGCCACTGCCGACGAGCCGCCGCCCAAGAACGGGCGCGCCGGCGCCCCGGCGGGCGCCGGCGGCCACAGCAACCACCGGCACCACGCTCACCACGCGCACCCGCGCGCGTCCGCCTCCGCACCGCCACTCCCGCAGGCACCGCAGCCGCCCGCGGCTTCCCGCTCGGCACCCGGCGGCCCGGCCGCTTCCCCGTCGGCGTTGCTGCTGCGCCGGCCTCACGGCTGCAGCTCGTGCGATGAGGGCAACGCAGCTTCCTCGCGCTGCCTCGACTGCCAGGAGCACCTGTGCGACAACTGCGTCCGAGCGCACCAGCGCGTGCGCCTCACCAAGGACCACTACATCGAGCGCGGCCCGCCGGGTCCCGGTGCCGCGGCAGCGGCGCAGCAGCTGGGGCTCGGGCCGCCCTTTCCTGGCCCACCCTTCTCCATCCTCTCAGTGTTTCCCGAGCGCCTCGGCTTCTGCCAGCACCACGACGACGAGGTGAGTGCGTGGGGGCGTGTGTTTGTGTTCACCGGATAACTGCGTGTATGCTCAACAGTGGTCTCCCGGCCGGTCCCGTAGCGAGGGGGGGAGGCCCTCTCCGGATTTGCTTTGTATTTCCTTCAGCTACGTGGCAGTCCTCGCTACCAAAGTAGATCAGGACCTGGGAAGTATGTGGAAGTGGATTCTGTGTAAGTGTCGTGAGGGGCCCCGAAATATCCCATAGCGTGGGATCCTCCCTTTTCCGATTTTAATTTGTGTGTGGCAAAACGCGGCAATCGTCTTCAGTTAGGCATGAGTTGGGAAGAGATAGGTGTGTTTGTGTAGACGTGGCCTCCTGGCGCGGGCACGCCAGAGGCCTCCCAACGTGATGAGAAGGGGCTCCTTTATTTTCAGATTTTTGTTTGGAAAACTCACAGGTTGTTGCCTTTAAAATAGGGCGTGAGCCCGGAAGGGATGGTTGTGTGGTGGTTGTGTGGGTGAGTGCGTGGAGTTGGTGTGCCTCCGTAGACCTGTTTTCCCGTTGGGCCTTTTTGGGGGGAGGCTTGTTTTTTTTTTTTTGTTGGGACAGCGTGGTAGTCCTTGCCTCCTTATGTTGGGTAAGAGTGGGAGAGTCTGTGGATCTTTGAGGGCCAAGGGCCCCCCGTCTTAAGGCCTTCTCGCCGCGGCTGCTTCCTATATTGTTTGAAATGCGTGTTCTGGCCCCTGAACTCTCCTAGCGTGAAATCGCCGTTCGTAGGCCCACGGCTCCACCCCGAGATAGAAGCAGAATAAGGGGACGACGTTACCTTCACCCGCCTGAGTCTCTTGGGCCGCGCCCGCCTGCCCGGACTCCAAGCCCTACAGGAACCGGTTTCCCTGGTTAGGAGGTATCCACCCGGCTCAACCAGGGGCTCCACTTCCTTGGAAAAGACCAAGGCAGCCGTACGCTGCTGGAACGCCGGAGCGCGAAGGGTCTTAGGGCTACATCGCAACCCTCGGGCTTGATTTCGCCCTTTGGGCTGTCGACTAAACTTTTGCTTATTTTTCACACAGTGTGAACCGTTTCTCGTTTCCTTTGGTATTACGCGAGTATCTTCTGCTCCCCCGAACCCAATAAAGGCAGGCCAAAAGTCTTGAGAAGCGGGCTCTGCCGGAGGGGGTCAGTAACTTAAGCGATCTACCTGTAGACTGGTGAGAAAGGGTGTTGGTGAAAGTCTTGATAGCGTAAGCTGGAGACTGCAGAGGCTTTAAAAACCATAGTGGGGGTCATGGCCTGTGTGAGCTGGAGAGTGGGTACCGAGCACCGCAAAGGTGAGCCCAGCGCTGCTACCTTTTCCACTCCTAACCTGCTATTTGGGGGGAGGGCGGAGCCATTGCCTGATGGCCTTTAGCTGGCTTCTCCTGTTGGGAAAAAGTTGAAATTCTAATCTACTTGTTGTGGGCATCTCCTTTTAAAGGGTTTCTTCTAGGTAAAAGCTAGGGGGCAGTTTTCATTTTTAAACTTTGAATGGACTCCTAGTTTTAACATATGGGTTCATGTTCTTTAAGCACTTTTAGAAAAATGAATGATTGAGGTAAATACCAATCCAAATCCCAGGAACAGAAAAATGGAGCCAGTTCACTTGCAGATTGGGATCAAATGCAGGGCGAGCAGAATGGGGTTGAATCCAGGAGTTTCCCTCCTGAGAGCTGCTTTTAGTTTAAACGTCAGTTTATATTTCCAGTTAAAGATCCACCTATATTTTTATTTAGACTGAAACAGTAGATGCTCAGTGTTGGCAGACTTGTGAAAGATTGATTCACTTTTAAAATTAGAAAACCCTTCAAACTGCATTGGGGAGTGTGAATTGAGAAGTGAAGTTCTCCACTCACCCTGGGTAGGAGGTACTCGGAAGCTCTTCAGATTCACTTTTTAGCATGTGCAATGTCAGGTTGAAGTAACTAATACTTAACATAAAATTTGCTCAGTTTTGAGCAAGATTCTACTTACTCTCTTTAGCTTTTCATGAAAAACGTTTTGGAAATTAATTGTTTGGCCCTTTTATTCATTCCTGGATTTAGAACGCCAGCAATTTGAGATTAAAGGTGACAAACCAGTGTTCTGAGTAGAAGACAAGTGTTTAGGAGAGAAGGCACTGCCAGGTAGTGAGGTTCATAAACGGTTCCACCCACAGCTTAAATAATTCCTTTTCTTTGAAGGAAGTGATCACGTTAACAGTTTGAGAATATTGTTCCTTTAAAAAGACATCCCTCTGGCTGGGAAGGAGCTTTAGGACATTTACATTTGGAGCATGATAGGCCCATATCTTGACTGTGGTATACTGAATGCCTAAATCCACTTATTTTAATGTGTATACTGTCTACCTCAATTTTTAAGACAAGCTCCTTAACTGAGTTACTTCCCTTGTCAACAGGCTCCGCTAAATAATTCAGAGCAGCACCTTTTCCTCATAGTGACTAAGGCCACCTGACCTTGGGAAGGAGGCCCAAACACCCTACCCCAGCCTGCAGTGTCTCTCGCCCAAGGGGACTTTCTTCCATAAGCGTCCCCTTGGAAATGTCTCCTTAGGATTGGCAAGTGAGGTGTCTTGTCTGAGCAATTGGCTTTAAGCCGTAGTGATGATAACCTGGAAATCTTTGGGTTTTTCAACGAAATAATGAGACTTGCTTGCTGCTACTCTCTTTGGCTTATTTCAACAGCATAGTTGGGGCTTTTCACTAGTTCTGTGCCTCCAGAGTCCGAAAGACCTGCAGGCTCCGTGGCCCAGCCAGCATCCGGGCGGGGAATCCGAGGCCGCTGTCCCCGGAACAGCTGGCCTCGGGCCCGCTGCGTGCCGCGGGTCCCGGGAGAGGCGGGCGCAGGCAGAGTCGCCACGGGCCTGTGCCGCCGCCCGGCCAGCCCGGAGCCTGTCTCGGCTCTGGGGACGTGGCCTGGCCGGCGGCTGCTCTTCTCCCTGCAGGCACCCGCTGGGGTGTTCACGGCTGCTCTGGTCATGGAGAAGGGTCTTCGCTTGAGTTTTGGAGGAAGACTTTCCCAACTAGGGAGCTGTGAGCGCTGCTCCAGCTGCCCACAAGTGGCCTTTTAGCATTGTTTTGCTTTTGGCACATAGGACATGAGCCCTTTGCAGCCTTGGAGGCGACAGCGGGAGCAGAAATCCTGGGTGTGTTACGTGCCTAAGCTGGGCGTCAGGATTCTGTGAATGGCGGGAAGTTGAGCAAAGTTTGAACCCAGGAAAGCCTCTGTCACTAGTGGTGAGGGGCAGTGGGGGTGACATTGTTGCCACCCGGAAAACATTGTAGCCCGCCCCACCCGAGGATGGCAATATTGTTCCCAGTTAGGCGGGTCCGGGGGTGGAATTTTCTGGAGTCTCTGGTTGGAAAAGGGGGTGCAGGTGTTGGTAGTATGCATGCGGTCCCTGTGTTGGGTTTTAAAATGCCACCTGAAGATAAAAGTTCTAGAATTCCAACCTGATTTGACCCTGAACATTGAGCACTCCCTGGGACTGTCTCCTGGCAGGAAACTTAAAGTGGCTTCAGACTCTTGGAACAAGGTTTGCTGCCTGAAATAATCGGTTGTTGTGTGAATTTCTGTTTCGTATATTGCGAGTAAATGGGACCGTACCTGTATTCAGCACCAGTGTATATTATTCTCTGTTCCCAAAGTCTTAAGTTTTTTCGAGCCTGCATATACTCAGTGTATGCACACTTATTTTTAAATTATATGCATGTTCTTGCGTAAATTATAAAATCCATACCAAAATATTTTTAAAAACATAATACAAATTTCCCACTTAATACTGTCCTTTTTCTTCTTTAGAAGTTATCAGATGTAACTAAGTTGGTGAAATTTATGATACAGTTTGAGAATTTCTAGCTGAAATTCGGATTTCAATTGGAATCTGATTGATTCATATTAATTTCAACAGCTTTTTTTTTTTTTTTTTAGTAAGGACAAGGAGAGAAAGTGAACAGAAATGGGTATTCCAGTATTTCTGTACCTACTCTACACTACCGGGTGAATATGTCCTCTGAGTGCAGACATCTCACCTACTGGCTGGAAAACCAAACTTTACGTGCCTTGGAAATAGTTACAGAGGTTGCTGCTTTGAATCCAGTTCAGCAGGTAGACATTTGGAAGCCTATTGAATTCAGAAAACGCTTGATAAAAATATATAGGAGGGAAATGTTCATTATTGATATGTTAATTGCTTAGCCTTTGTGGACTTAAGCTATTTCCACTAAAGTGCATAGGAATGGATTTTTCAACATGGACCCTCAGGAAGTGGGGGCCATGGCTAGTTTGGCAAGCCTGTGCTGATGTTGCCTTGAAGGCATAAGGTGTCATGAACTGTGCTAGTAATATGGAGGCTGTTGTAGTATCAGCACTGTCTGTGAAACCTTTTGTGATTATTTGTTCAGTTTCCTTTCTTTGAAAAGATAAACTGTAGTGATTTGGGGATTGCATAGATTTGATACAAGATTTTTATTTCCATTTCTGGGAATATACATTTTGGAAAACAAGATATTTGGGAACAAAACGGGTACTTTTTCTAGACTGCCAGGTCTTCATTTGACAATAATAATTGTTCTTTATCATTGACATTGTTTTCTTTTTTCTTTTTTTTTTTGAGATGGAGTCTCACTCTGTCGCCCAGGCTGGAGTGCAGTGGCGCCATCTCGCCTCACTGCAAGCTCCGCCTCCCGGGTTCACGCCATTCTCCTGTCTCAGCCTCCCGAGTAGCTGGGAGTACAGGCGCCCGTCACCAGGCACGGCTAATTTTTTTGTATTTTTAGTAGAGACGGGGTTTCACCGAGTTAGCCAGGATGGTCTCCATCTCCTGACCTCGTGATCCGACCGCCTTGGCCTCTCAAAGTGCTGAGATTACAGGCGTGAGCCAGGCGCCCGGCCAACATTGTTTTCTACGTGAAATAGGTGTACTTGAAATGGGGAAACCCAGGAGGCGGAGGTTGTGGTGAGCCGAGTTGCGGTGAGCCGAGGGGTTGCCATGTTGGCTAGG